AGTTTTCTCGTTCAGTTCAAAAAATGGGATTTAGCGACGCACAGTATAATATTTGGTTTGCTGGGATTGAATTTAGAACCAAAAAGAAAAGAAAAGGGTACCAGAGCCAAGTGCCCCTGTGCCCCGCGCTTGGGGTAATGAGGTAGCGTAACTTGGAGGGGCAGACGCGCAGAGGAGAAACGACAGAATCAAGGGGCGTTTGGCTCCGATTGTGAATCTTTCTGGGCTTTGAACGAGACTGTGCAACATTATATATCACTAGCTGGCAAACCCGGCTCTGCCCGGCCCTGTCATTATTATATTCGTAATCAGCATGCTCGATTACCCCCCTGTGCCAACTCCCAGCACTCCTAGCTCAAATTTCGCAAAAAATCGATAAAATCGATGTCGATCGATAACGAAAAGTAGCCTATGGCACGCTCCCTGCCCCGAAGTGTATGTGTGCCAAGTTTGGTTCAAATCGGTTCAGAAATAAAAATTTTTATTCCGCACATACGTACAGAAGACAGACACACATTCAGCTTTATAGATAAGATTCTTATTGTCATTAAACGATTAGGAGCACTGACAACGTCACCGGCGTAAAAGATCACCTCTTAAAGGCAGTATCCGGACTAGGTTGATGTTTTGGGATTTCTCTGCTGCGCAAAAGTAGCCGCTCTGACGCACTCCCAGCTCAATCGAGGGCACATTTCGTGGAGAGAAGCGAGAAAAGCTCCGGAAGTTGGGAGAGTCACGCTACGATGGGAGGACCTCGCTCATCTTATATATAAAGCTTGTCTGTTTGTATGTATGTCTGTCTGTCTGCATGTCTGTCTGTGTGTACGTATGTTCCGAATAGAAAATTCCATTTCTGAACCGATCCGGACCAAACTTGGCACACATACACTTCGGGCCCCGGCGCGTGTCATAGGCTACTTTTCGTCATCGATCGATATCGATTTTTTGCAAAATTTGAGCTAGGGGCTGGGAGTTGGCACAGGGGGGTAAGTGAGCATGGGGATTCCGAATACAATATTAGTTTTTAAAATCGTGCATTACTTTTATCGATTTTATCGATTTTTTTGCAAAGTTTGAGCTACGGGGCTGGGATTTGGCACAGGGGGGGGGGGGGGTAATCGAGCATGCTGATCACCCCCGTGGGGGTGATCAGCATGCTCGATTACACCCCCTGCCAAATTCCAGCCCCCAGCTCAAATTTTGCAAAAAATCGATAAAATCGATGAAAGTAATGCACGGTTTCGAAAACTAATATTGTATTCGTAATCAGCATGCTCGATTACCCCCCTATGCCAAATCCCAGCCCCCTAGCTCAAATTTTGCAAAAAATCGATAAAATCGGCTTCAATCGGTAACGAAAAGTGGACTGTGACACCCGCCGGGGCCCGAAGGGTATGTGTGCCAAGTTTGGTCCGGATCGGTTAAGAAATGGAATTTTCTATTGGGAACATACGGCGGAGCCGGGTAAGTCAGCTAGTCGAATGATAAATCGATTAGCCAGAGTGTGCATATCGCACACAGTCAGACGTAAGATCCCACCAAGACTCTTCTAACCCCGGCGGCAGGCGTCCAAATTCAAAAACAAGGGCGGTACTATTCCGCCCTTAGTTGACACAAAAAATGGAATAGGGGGATTATTTTGCAAGCTGATTACGAATATCTCATTTATTTCGCAGGTTTGCCGTCTGTGCAGTTACGGTAGGGTTACGTTAGGGGCCGAAATCATGAATTTGCCCCAAACTGTTCCGGGGGTTATTTGGCATGCTGAACATAAATACCATGTTCATTTCGTACGATAGCGTCATTTTTTCGGACTATGGTGGGTACATGGTAGATGGATGAGAATTCCGAATTTGTTCAAAGCTTTGCATAGAGAGGTTCTTAAGCATGCTGATTACCGATACATGCTCGATAAGGCGTTGCTGCAGTAAAACATGATATCCGTCATCAGCATGCTTGTGAACCCTTGCAAAGTTCTGAGCATTCGAAATTTAGCCATTTAGCCAGCTATCGCATGCCCACCGTAACCTGAAAAACGGCGCTACCGCAAGAAATGAATATTTTAGTCATGTTCAGCGTACCGAATAACCCCCCCTAGGCGAAGTTTAGGGCGAATCTGTGTTTATGGCCCTAATCCTACCGTAACTCCACAATGGCATTACGGTGGAAATAATTATGATGTTCGTAATTAGCGTGCAAATTAACCCTTCTGGAGGAAGTTCTAACCGTATCGCGATGCTTATTTTTTGGGTCAATATTGTGGAATAGCGCCGGATAGCCCAGGTAAGCGAAAAAATTTTGTTCGAAATTTTGTTCGCGCGCTGCCTTTAAAGGTGGTGTCTGGACAAGAACTCCATTTCCTCCACATTTACTTGCCTGAAGTTATCCGCAACGCTAAATTTGAAAATCCACGTCAGAAAGCGCGAAAACGGCGAGAACATGCGTTCCTCAGAGCCTTACAACTTGGAATTGGACGGCTGGCGAGGCTAAGAACGTAGAGTCACTGCAGGACACGACTTTAACTGTGGCGGCATGTGTACTCCCGCAGAATAGGCAATCAGGAAGACCCCGCCCCCGGGGTCTTTTCTGAGTTTACCAACTTTCCGGCGGTTTTTCGTGCTTCTGATCAAACGTTATGCCTCTCACTTGCGCAACGGCGTGTCCGAGGAGGCCCACTTTCGCACAGCATTGCAATCCCAAAACCTACAACCTTGTTCGGACACTGTCTTCAACGAGACGAACCAGCAATTTCGTACGCGACTCTCTGACTGTGCGAGAGTCAAGTTGTAAGCACGGAGACGTGCAAGTGGGAAGCTATGTTGTGAGAACAAGATATAAAGCTTAGATAAAGGCAAAGTATGTTATGAGAATAAGATCAATTGTTGCAGATATGAGGATGACACGCATTCTGCAGTATGGCATATAAACCGTCACCGAGAGCACAAGCCGGATATCCCGTACCAAGTCTCGAGCTGCCGACTGGTCGTCCACCGTACCCCTCTCGTCGCTGGCTGATGCCTGGCTGATGCCTCTCCGATCCAGCGCTACTTCTGATCTACCTGCTCAACCTCTTCACTAATCATTTCTAATTGCCGATCGTTCATATACTGCTTTCTGTCCATATTGATGTCTCAAGGATAAACTACTTAGTACTGATCGGTGCTCGTGTTTCTACCAGCCAGCTAGCACGCTACCACTAGCGACGCTTACTAACAAGGGAACGATACTTGGTGTCCGTGGCCTTTTGAGATGACATGTATACCATTACACTCGTCTTCGAACCCTGGTTCCGAATTTGACTTCCGTTTCTGCTAATCGCTTCAAAGTTGTTATGATGGATCACGCGGAGTTTGGCTGCGTGGTGAAATACGGTCGGAGGTCTAGTGGTTAGTGCGATAGCCTCATGAGTAGGTGCGGATGTAGGTTCGAATCCTTCTGTGTTTTTCAGTTTTGCATTGCTCAGTTAACCTTCTTTCGCATCCTCGAGCTATGTGAACGCACTTACTCTTCAAAAAATGTGTAAACTTGGAACAAATGATTACTGTTTGCGCTAAAATGTATCCAATGATCATAATTCGAGTGAATTTTCTCGAACAAGTGAGGCAGTGCAAAGATGAAAACACAAAAGGATTTGAACCTACACCTGCCTCAACTTATGAGGCTATCGCACAATTTACTAGACCAGAACGTGGCCGCAGTAGAGGCCGTTCCAATGACCATATTTCCCTTGGGCGGCCAAACATGGCTCAAAATTCGCCACAACTTCTTTCAGAGGAAACGATTAGCAGAAAAGGAAGCAAATTCGGAATCAGCGTTCGAAGACGAGTGCAACAGTATGCATCTCGTCTCGAAAGGCCACGGGCATTGAGTATCGTTTCCTTGTAAGTGCAGTTTTTTGTGTTTGGTGAATTCAAAGAGCTTCTGAACTCTTGAAGCACGTTCGTAGTTTTGAAAAGGGTTAATTTGAGAAACGTTGCCCTTATTTTTGGAAAGTTTCCATAAAAACCTTGTTGGAGGCTGCAAAAACTCAGTTTTTTGTAATTTTTTGACTCACTACACGTTGTTCAATCATAATTCAATTTGATTATGAGTTCAATATCCGCAGCTTTGACCCGGACGATTTAGTTCTGTTGATTTTTTTAGATAAAGTTTGTATTAATTACTTATGTTGCGCAGAGTAAAAGTTGCAAAGTGCAAAGCTCTATGTATCACGGGTATGCCAGAAAGGAGTGTTTTAGGCTCACCTTTGCACATTTTTCAATCTTTGCTGGCCTAAACTTCTTCATCAATCGCTCTGATTCTTGAAATTCAAGCTCAACCCATTACAGTAGGATCTTTTTTGTCCACCTTAAATCCAGAGTCTAATCTTTTCATTTTGCAAACGAAATTTATCCTATGGCAGCAGGTGCATTTGTAATTGTAAACGACGTAGAAATGATTGCTAGACAGATTTGCTCAGGAAGAATTAATGCTAAGAGCCCATATTGGTTTGCAATTTTTGCAATCATGGTGTGTTAGCCTAATGCAGTGAGTAACATGCAATGACACAAATAATGCTTAAGAAATGCAAAAAAGGACTATTAGTTATTGAAACAACATCAACTGTTTTTTAAGAATTGACGCACATAATGGAGATTGGAAAATCTGATTTATTCTATATATGCATCCGACAGAGGCAACAAGTAATGTAATTTCTTTTTTTTCCAAATGTAGCGCACTCGTTCTTTGCCATTACCTAAGAGCTGCAGCTGTGCACAAAATGTTTGAATTTTGATGACAACGTGTAAAATCTGCACCTTTTGCAAAAACTAACAAAATTGGAAAGTACTGGAGCTAAAACCATGCACGGAAGTCGGAATCTCAGAATTTGTCGCGATTTGCATAGCGGAATTGGACCCGCTCCATTACATTTGTTTGTTTTCAAGGTAAAAATTCACATGCCTTTTCACTGCTTACTGAACAGTATGAAGAATACGCATAGTTTATCAAATATGGGTAATCTGCAAAAAAATCAACACATATAATTACAAATAATAGATATCCCGTTATAGTGTGACACCCGCTTATTTTTCATATGCATAAAACAAGATCCAATAATGCACTGCCTTATAATTACGTGATTCCAATCCCATAAAGGAATTTGTTCTGAGCTCGTTTTACTTTTTCTTTGGCGCAGTGTACGTGTTTAGAAAGGAACCAGAGACCATGGAGAGCCTAAAATATGAGTAAAATTTTCTAAGGTTAATCAAATTTTATATGTCTGCCTTGACTACCTGTCGTGCTTCTTTGTTCTTAACTCCAACGTAAAAATTGTTGTTGACTATGTAAGGTTTCATGCTCACTTTTTCAGAGTCATCGAGATGGAACCTGAATACTTTTCAATGTTAGAACTGGCTTTGGAAACGCATCATATGACTTCACGCATAATGTACTCTTTCAATTTACACTAGATTCATGAACAGCTTCAAGTAGCGGGTATTCAGGTTCTAAATGTAAAAAAATATCAAGCACTGATTAAGCCGTTATCCGAAGTGATAATTATTTATTTATTTATTTATTTATTTATTTATTTATTTATTTACTGAATGCACGAGAAATGCGCCTATGATATAAAAGCAGAAAAACTAAGTATTAGTCAATAAAAAGAAGAAAAAAAACCAAATTCAGACAGAAAGTTTAATTCAGTGCTGGTAAAAAATCTCAAGCAACACTCATTCAAGTACATGTGAGAGTCGGAATGATACTACCTACTAAAGATATACGATTTATTTGTTGCCGAGACCATTATAAACCCAGTACCGTACTCTTTCGGACCAGACTGATCAGCGCCAAGGATTACGGTATGGGGAGAGAGCGAAGTACGTACCGTACTTCTTGGCGCTATTCATACTCTTCTGCGGTTAGGTAATGATTTAATTGGATCTTCAGGTATCACCCAAGTCCAGGATCCCAAAACGCTTCAAATCTGTCTTTACTATCAAAAAAATGCTCTTCTATTTCCAAATCGAATGATTGTATCATTCTAAAAAAAAGCCCTACCATTTGCCGTCAGCTATCTCATTGTATTCAAAATCTCTACAGACAATACCATGATACTGCATCGAACACAACTCGTTCAGAACGTCCTAAAGATTTTTTTCATTAGCAATCTTTCTTTTTTCAAGCAACTAACCTGGTCATAAAGTGATTCATTTTTCTGCAACCTCTTAGTCATTTCCTCAAATAACACTACAGATGCATTTGTAGGTTCGACCAGCATCGGGCTGAATGCAAGTCGATCACCCTGGAAAAAAAGAGACTAAAATTATTGAGTTTTTTAAAATTAACGACGTACTTGATGAGTTAGGCCCTTAACTGGAACAACAACATCGGCATCATCTATCAAAGTGGCATTAAGGAACAGTTCCAATGGGTCTCGGAACCATATTGAGTCTGTTTCAATCAATGTATAACGTATGGAGTGCTGGAAAGTTTATAATGGCTTTTCGAATATGTAAGACTCAGATAATTTTTTACCTCCGTCAGAATCTTCATCAATTTTGCCCTGATAGTCAAATAATTTATGTACTTTTGTTCGCCCCAGTCAAGGTCTTCTTCATATCCGGAAAGGACCATTAGCAAACAAGCCATAGCCTGAATTTCTGAGAATTTCTAACAATTTTTGTAGTCGAAGAGAAGTGCTACATACCTTTCCGTACTCCTCCTGCACTCTGTCACACAATTTCCGAGACGTGGATACAATTAAGAGCCTTTCGTGTGTACCCTGAAAATGTGCGCAAATGTACTCGAAGATAAAGAAAAAATTGGAAATGAGGGGACAAAGCTTCAAATATCCTCCAGCAACACATATATTCTTATTTTAAAAAAATTTGTAAGTTAATCCTCCAGCAATACATACTATTCTTATTTTATAAAAATTTGTAAGTTACCTGAAAATCAGCAACATTGCATAGCCAATTCAGTGTCAGCATCTCGAATGCTCCGTTTACCAACGTAAAATAAAGCAGTCGGTTTGTCTTGTACATTGCCGAAGCTCGGTCAATGAGTTTCTAGAAAAACAAAGTTGAAGTTGCGAGTGTGAAGTCACGATTTTCTCAAGTTTCTAAGAAAGTTTTCGCTAAGCTTTGCAAGTTAAGAATTCGGAAACTTTAATAAAAAGAAAGTAACCAAAAAGTGCCGATTGCGCTGAGACGATCAGCAAACAAAGGTTTGCAGCTTATTTTATGGCCGTTTTGTAAAGAAATTTGATTTCGATATTTGTGATTTTCTCAATAAAAACCAAAAATTAGTGTATAGCGAGTCTAATGTCAAATCAAAGCATATCTGTCTAGCTATCAAAAAAAATTGGACCCACTTATTTAGGTTGGCTGCTAAGTATTGCACCTAAATTGGGATTTTTGCAACGAAAGTTTGAGACGTTTCTGTATAAATTATTTGATGCATATGAATTTGCATATAATATAAGTTTGCATTAAAACAAAATCAGATATTGTGGAAGTTGTAAGTACTAGCTTGTCGCAGAGACATTCAATCAGTATGGAATGTTAGTATTGAGAAAAACATGCTATATTAATGAAATTGAAAATGAAATCAGAATATTCAGAACTCATCGCGAAGAAATTTTGAAGAAAAAAAACTATTTTCTGAGCTCGGCTAGCCCCGATAACCCAGCAACACTATTTATTCAAGGCACTCTATCAAACGTGATTTTTTTCTGTCCAACTTTATAATGTAGAAAGAGGAGAGGGGGGGGGGGGGGGGAAGGAGGGTGCGGACTTGCAAAATTCTGGTGTCTTATTGAATTGGAATTGCTTAGCAAAACACTGTCTTCGTCAAATCAGCTCTTGGGTTTGTAAAATCATCAATTGAGACATCAAATTTGGCATAGTTCCAAAGTAAGATTTAACGCAGAATTGCATTGACCATGATTTTTTTTCATTCGTATCTAAGCAAAAGTGAAAATTGGCTAGTGCTTTGCATGCAAACGGAATTGTAAAAAAAATTCGTCCTCAGTTCCGTTCCACTTGTTTCGCCCGAACGCTGCCTCACTTTCTGTTCATGCGATAATTGAGCGCGTAAGAAAAGATGGTAAGAGTGTTGCTAACCTTGACGAAGTCATTATCGAGTTCGGGTTGTAGCAATTTAACCTCCGATGTTGATGTTTTTTCTTAAATGGGGGCAATTTCTCACAGTGTTCTTTCATTGCAGAAAATTCGAAAAATTCTGGAATTTTGTCATAGTTCACCAACCTTTCAATTTCTGCGATTTCTTCGAATCTTTGCCTTTCGACTTTTTCACCGATCCCGATACTTTCCCCTTGACAGATACTCCCTCCTTCAAAACCAATGGTCCGTCTGATAATTCCTAGAAGGAAAAACGTGCTTCATCTGAGAAGATTTGCAAAAAAACTTACTTTTTTAGAAAGCTCCCTTCTCGTGTAAGATACTTGTGTGATAGAGTAAATAAAATAAAATGTGTGGGCGATCACATAGGCAAGCACAATAAAAGTCAGAATTCTTCTCATAAATCTGGAAATTTACAAGTGAAATCCCGCGAAAATTGTAACGCGCAGCAATGGAGATTTGGTAAGAGATAGATGCAAAACTTGAAATTCGCTAATTAGACCACAGAAGCCGCAAGCTTGCCAATCGTTTCGATCGTTCAACGATAAGCAAACCATAAAAAAGTGTCGATTTCCTTACGGAGATACACATTCTATGCTGGAACAGTGCCAGATATTGGCAATGGAAAGAATGTGGATGAGCTCTAGGGAGTGAAAACCTGTATAAGTATAGCGTAATTTTCAAATTAATGACCTCTTCCCCAGGTTAATAATAAGCAAAATACATACATGTTTCTTTAAATACCATCCTAAATACTTTTGGTGAACTCTCAACCTTCACTGGAACATGATCTCTAAAAATTTATGTGGTGATTTCACATCTTTAAACCGGTCCGATGAGAACTCGCTTGGAACTGCAATCTTTTCAAAGCACTGAGCACCAGATTTTGTACTCGAACAGCTCGAATCCCAAAGGAGTACAGTGAAATTTCAGGAAACCAACGATTGCGACAATTTTACACCAAATCAATGCATGTTCAAGGCCAACGCATACGGTTCATTGCGTACAACTAGTTGCAAAAAAAAGCGAGAATAGATAGAAAGTGCTGGGAAAAAGTCGGAATCTTTCTAGAATTGGAAATTCTGGGGACGAATTAGGGTGCAAGTGGGGCTCATGAAAGAGGCTGGGAAACTCAAGCAAGTGCTGGAAAAAACATATTTTGGAGTAGTTATTGCTCTATTTGAGAGTAAAAACTGGCTATTTTAGGGGTAAGAAATGCAGAAGAGGTCATAAAAATACAGTTAGAATTTTTTGTACATGATTGTTTTAAGGAGTTAAAGTTAAGCTAGCTGCTACTTAAAAAGAAACTTTACTGCTACTCAAAGAGAAAAAATGGAAAAGGAATGAAAAGAGGTCAAGGATACGGTCAGAAGTTTCTAAAATTGACTTCTGACGAGAGAGGAATTCCAAAGAAGAGCTATCATAAGCAGAGACGCAAGGAATTGACAAAACCGTACTCAACAAGGAACCAAAAGACTGGTGTACTCCAAAAAGGGTCCGACAATCGTCAAAAACAAGCAGAAATGATTTAAACGTTTCTAGTTACTGATTCAGAACGACAGAACGCAAAATGTTTGGACACAGAGTGGTTTCAGTGCGCACTATGCGATAATGGAACCGATCGCCAAGTGAACGAGAGATGGTCTCGTCTCGCGCAAGAACACAACCCCGAACCCGAGAGCAGTTCTCTTCGACACGAAATGAAAGCGAAATCAGGCCGAATCAGGGCTGAAGATTTCTCTCCCAACGAGTAGTTTGTATACGAAGGTGCGCGTGTGTTCACACCGACATGAGAAAAAGTGAACGACGACGCTTTGGAGGACGATAATAACGGGGGCGAAAAAACAGAACCTGCTCCTGATTAGTGTGAATCTCGCACAGTTCTACGAAAAAGTGGTAAACTTTTTTCTGTAAAGTACTCGAGAACGAGGAATGCATATAGAAAAAGTTTAGCAGGCACAATACTGAGAGGAAAGGAGATTGTATAACAATGTTTCGTAATGATTAACGCCTACCTCATTGTTATAAAAGCCTCTGAACTTACCCTCGACGATTTTCCACTTGACTATGGGTAGTCGGCTGACCTCACATCGATATTGTTTGATCTGATCTCAATCCTACGGATAAAATTTATCGTCTCTGTTTGTTCACTGGACTCCACGCTGCATATCGCACGCTTTCTTTTTCACAACCATACCTTGGTATCAAATTTTAAAGTATTGTCCCATATCGTATGCTTGGCACTGGTAGCGTGCGTCTTATTGGTGAAAATAATCTTGAAAAATGTTACTCCATTCCAGCTTGTTTCATGTGATCTCTTCGAGCTGTTGCCAAGATCTTGCAATCTTGAGGTATTCTCTCGATATAAGTTCCTACAGAAAAAGAATCGTTTGGTTGTTACCAGCTTCAATAAATCATCGTTGAAAGTTCAAAATTTCAGGTTATCCAAATTAAGTTACTGGAAATTAAGGGAACGCCATTCCAGCACCGTCCATAATATGAGCTACTAGCTGGCTTACCCGGCTCCGCCGTATCCGGACCAAACTTGGCACACATACTCTTCGGGCCCCGGCGGGTGTCACAGTCCACTTTTCGTTATCGATCGATGTCGATTTTACCGATTTTTATCGATTTTTTTGCAGAGTTCACCTACAGGGCTAGGAGTTGGCACAGGGGGGAAGTGAGCATGGGGATTCCGAATACAACATTAGTTTTCAGGATCGTCCATTACTTTTATCGATTTTATCGATTTTTTTTTGTAAAGTTTGACCTGCGGGGCTGGGAGTTTGCACAGGTGGGTAATCGAGCATGCTGATTACGAACACAATATTAGTTTTCAGGATCGTCCATTACTTTTATCGATTTTATCGATTTTTTTTTGTAAAGTTTGACCTGCGGGGCTGGGAGTTTGCACAGAGGGGTAATCGAGCATGCAGATTACGAACACAATATTAGTTTTCAGGATCGTCCATTACTTTTTCGATTTTATCGATTTTTTGAAAATTTGAGCTAGGGGGCTGGAATTTGGCACAGGAGTGTAATCGAGCATGCTGATCACCCCCCTTGGGGGTGATCAGCATGCTCGATTACCCCCCTGTGCCAACTCCCAGCCCCCTAGCTCAAACTTTGCAAAAAAATCGATAAAATCGATAATAGTAATCGATAATCCTGAAAACCAATATTGTATTCGGAATCCCCATGCTCGATTACCCCCCTGTGCCAACTCCCAGCCCCGTAGCTCAAACTTTGCAAAAAAATCGATAAAATCGATAAAAGTAATCGATAATCCTGAAAACCAATATTGTATTCGGAATCCCCATGCTCGATTACCCCCCTGTGCCAACTCCCAGCCCCGTAGCTCAAACTTTGCAAAAAAATCGATAAAATCGATAAAAGTAATCGATAATCCTGAAAACCAATATTGTATTCGGAATCCCCATGCTCGATTACCCCCCTGTGCCAACTCCCAGCCCCGTAGGTGAACTCAGCAAAAAAATCGATAAAAATCGATAAAATCGATATCGATCGATGACGAAAAGTAGCCTATGACACCCGCCCGGCCCCGAAGGGTATGTGTGCCAAGTTTGGTCCGGATCGGTTGAGAAATAAAATTTTCTATTCGGAACATACGTACATACATACAGACATACAGACATACATACAGACAAACAGACATTCAGCTTTATATATAAGATGGGCTAATTTTTGTTTAGAAAAATATTCTAATGCCTCGTAATTCTTGTCATATTTTCGAATTCCTTGTTCTGTCACATTAGTAAACAACGAATTAGTGCAAGGCTTTCCTACCTAGGAAAAAATCGAATAGTTGACCATGTAAGGATTCTGTATTAAACCTTTTAGATTTTCAATGCCGGAAACTAATCTTCTTCTATTATTTTGGCTAACATGTACGTAGTTGCAGAAGATTTATAGACTGACAAAGTCCACGACCTCCTCTTTCATTGAAATCAAGTGATCTAATGAACTCAGAATGCAAAAATTTACGATTTTTTTATATGATGAAGAATTCGGAACATTTGTGTCACTCCAATATTGTTTAATTCTGTCATCATATGTTGATATCGATGAAGATGTGTGGGCATCAAATTTTGCTTTTTACCACTATTTGAGTCATATATCTAGAATGCGAAGAGAAAGAGATACATATCGCCAAACAGAAATTTCGTCTAGTGTAAGAACTAAAATTCATGAGCAGTGTTGACTTGCAAAGGACACGGTAATCTCATACTTCGTCGAGAATAACTTTGAGCCCTTTGTTATTCGATTTATTGAATTCCGAGGTTTTCTTCCCTATAACTGTCAAGGTCCTCAGCCAATTGTGAAACTGTCAAAACTGATTGGGCAAGGAAGACATTACGGAGGTGATGCTCTTTCTGTGCGAAAGTGCACCATTTTTGCCAGTTGTCTGCACGCACCATTGTGCCAGTTGTCCGCCTCGTAGCAGTGCAATGTCCTCTGCGCACAAACTTTATGCTGTAAACCTCCAGCAATTCGCAGCAAAGAATAGACAAAGCATAATTTCTGCCAATTCACTGTCTTCTACCGGATTAGAATAGGTATTTGTCAATCACAAAACGTGTTTGTTTTTATTTCACGAAGAACTTTGTACTTCTTGCTGCTAAGTTTACAGCTCAATAGATTTGATTCGAACTCCCCATTTGCTTGCACACACTTGTAGGATTACAGTACCACTCGTAATCTAGAAAATAATCGTACTTCGGAGTTCGCCGAACTCCGCGTTGCATCGCCATATTTTGCTTCGAAGTGGACCAAATTCTCTATTCATAAGCACCATCCAACTCAGCTCGACAAGAAGCATCTTTTGATATATAGAAGTGCCTGTTTGGGCACAACAGTCGGCCAAATTTCGAGGATCCTTTCAGGTTCTTGCCACGGTAGGTTACTCAGAGTGTTGGATCATTGCACATCGACCAACCTATCGAAGCAAAAATTTGAAAGGGCTCTTAAAATTTGACCGAATAACTGCCCAAACAGCCACTTCTATGTCTCATTTGATGCATCTCGTCGAGCTGAGTCAAACAGTGCTTTTAGATGATGAATTCGTCCATTCCAGAGCAAGATATGGCGATGTATTAGGTTGGAAACTAACAACAAGTTTTGCAACTGGTCTCATAACTTCCCTCTCACTCAACATGGAGCAATCAAATTTCGCCTCTGCGTTGGTTATTACGTAAGCTACAAGCGTTTGGTATTTGGTACGTCAGAATTTAATAGGACAGCAGCTGCTGTCCTACCAAATTCTGACGTCGCCGTGAGGGTTACGGTAGGTGTATGGTATAAAGAGGACAAATTCAAAGTTTGACGGATTTGGCTGAAACTTGGCATATGGGTGTTATCCGACATACTGATCACGAAAACAATAGTGAAATTGCGTGATAAGGCTTTTTTGTAGTATTACTGTAGGTGTATATGGGGTTTCACCCTAAACAAAGAAAAAGGCGTTGATTCAACAAATGAATGTGATATTCGCGTTTGGCAGGTCAAATAACCTTACTATGCAAACTCTCGGTGGAATTTGAGCTTCGGACTCTTTAGCCATTGACGGTCGTCCCCAGCAGCTCTTGCGTACATCGACTCGTTCGAATTTATGAGGAGGCCAAATCTCGACATGCCCCTAAATTTTGTTTCTTTCTTACTAGGCCAAAAGAGTCAACCTCCAGCAATAATTTGTAGACGAATCCGGATTACTGCCATGGTCTAAGCTGCCAAAGGCTTAATTTTAGATTGAAACCCCAAAAATTCTCAAATTTCACTAGCTTTCGAAAAACGCCTGAAACTTTTCCATTTCGTGTTCAAAATTTAGACAATTTGTGCTAACTTGTAGCTCACATTGCCTTCTAAATAATGCCAAAGTCTGAGTGCGCCATATCCAAGAAGAGTGAAGTTATGAAACCAGTTGCAAAACTTAGTTTCCACGTAATAATTACAGTTTAGCGAACTCCGGCGGAGCGGAGTGCAGTGATTTTTCCCACAAATTACAAGCGGTATTGTAGGTTGCTTTGGCCGTAGAAGGCTTATTATGGCCCTAGCAAGGGAGATAAGCCCTGAATTTCACTGTTGACAAATCACTATGAATACAACTGAGGAGCACCTCGGCTTCTCAACTAGCTCAACAATCGATAAGGCCTTTTCTGAATAGTTTCAGACATTTTTAAATCATTAGTTGTATCCAAAAATCTTAAATCGAGAGTTCAAACAAATAGTCTTCAATTTTCATGTCCAGCTAACTCCAGTTTATTTGTGGTCGTCATCTACTGCATTACTGGATAGTTCAGAGGTCATTCCCGTGATTCTAAATCTGTTTTAATCCCTATGACGCGCGCACGCTTCGCAACGGGTTCGCACCGCATCACGTTGCAACTGCCATATCATAGCATGTTCAATGTCAGTGTCTCCTCGTCTCCCTGTTTGCCGGTTATCCAATCGTATACCTGCATCTCTTTCCTAGTTATGACTGCACGGAAAAACTTCTCGGATAAGAGTAAGAAGTTTTATTTCAACTATAGTAAGATGGAGTGAATTCTGTACTCTACTCCAAATATTCATATTCATTATCTTCTTGTTTTTTTTACTAATCTATTAACATTTCTGGGAAATACGCAATAACTATCATTTGTTGATAGTGTTTTGGATCGCGTTTTTGTTCACTGCAATTCGGTTGTGCCAGTACTTTGCCAACGGATGTGCATAATGCTAGTGCAATGTTGAGGAAAACACTTCATCACCTATAAGTAAATTATTGGTCAAACAAAAGCAAAAAATTCCTAAGGGATCAGCCATAGGTTGCTTAGGTGGCTGGCAACTGTTACCGCGGTTGCCGGGGTTGCCGAGGTTGCTCAGGTCCCGCTTACAACGCTTGATACAAAGATTCTACTTTGGGGTCCTAACGACCGACAACGACGGCAAACCCGGCAACCTCGGGCAACCCCGGCAGCAGCTGCCGACAACCTATGGGCGATATTTAAGATATGTTACAAACCTGGATGAGCAATTCCTTGTTATTAATGATATCCCAGAGAACCTGCTGTTCCGGTAACACCTCAGTCTGTGTTGCAACATCATTAGTAGCCAACGTAGCAATATCGTTTATAGGAAGTTTAGTGACATCGTTAGCAAAGTTTAAAGCTGATCTAAAAAACAACATAAAGATTATGTTTCTAATAAGTTTTTCTGAGCGCTTACCCTACAGATAAGTCTTCACTTGGGAATGAAAATGGTGCTAAGGGGGACGCGTTAACAGCAGATATAGATGACTGTGCATACATTGACATTGGCGCCCATTTTAAAAAGTCCTCATTACCCCACGGCAGCAATGTCGACTTGAATGAGCTCATTTCATCCAATGATCCTATGGTTTGTTCTGGGTAGTCGTCGGAGCTATCGGATGAAAGCACATGATTGGCCGGAGATACTTGGGGTGTTCCGTTACTCAGAGGTGATGCACATTCGGTTCCTCCTGACATTTCCCGCAGCAGAAGCGACTCCTGCTCGTTTGATGCATCTGGCAGAGACGGCGGAGCTATCGGTTTGGGAGATTTAGGAGATTCAATGGGTGCAGGTGGTGCGGGTGGAGCCGGTGGTGCCACAGGGGCTGGCAGCTGAAATTATGATAAGTCATACCACAGATATTCACTTCTGGCAAACATTTTAATCAAAGACTCTCCATTACCCCCCTTTACTCAAAAATACAAAGAAGAGAGATGATCGCTAGTCTGAGCTAATGGAAAAAACATTTCAAAGGCTTAACCCAACACGAAAACCGATTGATAGGTACAGTGAGCTAAACCAACCCTAAATGGTTTCTTAGGTAGCGTTAAGTTTCCAGAATGTACATATAATGGATGGTGATATATTGGCTGACCATCTGGGCCTAACGGTGTTACTAATACAGCACGCCATGGATGTTTACCATTACGTGATTGAAAAAATACAGTAGCTCTGGAAATGAGACGGCTTAGAGCTTACTTTAGCAGTGATAAAATTTACCTGCATTTCGTATCTGGACGTGGAGGAGTATCTCCTTCAGTTATATCCGTCCAAGCAATAAATGCACAACCATAACTAGGATGTTTCATAAAAGCGTGGAATGAAGACTGATTTGGGGTATAATTTGATACCTAAATCGAGCTGTAGTTGAGAGGGAAAATCATAAAATCAATAGAAAAAAAAAACGATGAAAAAGTTACCGTCCAATTATCATCTGTACGAAGTAAGGATGCATTCTGTATACGAATTTCAGCGTCATCACCAAGTACCTAAAGCCAAGCGGGTAACGATAATATACCTTGGGAAGAATGAGAAAAGCACGGGATGGAAACTTTATAAATTTGCTTGCCTCAACTCGGGTCGCACTCCATGGCACATCCTCAAAAGCACCAGTCCATACTACTTCAATTTTAACGCAAGTCATTGCACGTAATCCATGAATGAACTGCTGTGCAGGAACAAAAATACGACCTAAAAAGATTTCAAAAATTGGTCCAACAGCTAGATTCGTATATCATCCCTACCAATAATATCATTCCATAACCATGCGTTACGCGCATCCAACGAAACTCGATTAACAACAGCATATAAACTCAACAATAGCTTCGATGAATCCATACGGTCGTCTATTACCTCATACAGCTGCAACATTGATAGTTATGTAGAAACGGTTTTGAATTTAGTGGAAAATAGGGCGATTAAAAGAAAGACTGCTTGATAGTACAACTAGCTGGCTTACCCGGCTCCGCCGTATGTTCCGAATAGAAAATTCCATTTCTTAACCGATCCGAACCAAACTTGGCACACATACATTTCGGGCCCCGGCGGGTGTCACAGTCCACTTTTCGTTATCGATTGATGTCGATTTTATCGATTTTTTGCAAAATTTGAGCTAGGGGGCTGGGATTTGGCACAGGGGGGTAATCGAGCATGCTGATTACGAATACAATATTAGTTTTCGAAACCGTGCATTATCTTTATCGATTTTATCGATTTTTTTGCAAAATTTGAGCTACGGGGCTGGAATTTGGCAGGGGGTGTAATCGAGCATGCTGATCACCCCCACGGGGATGATCAGCATGCTCGATTACCCCCCTGTGCCAAATCCCAGCCCCGTAGCTCAAACTTTGCAAAAAATCGATAAAATCAATAAAAGTAATGCACGATTTTAAAAACTAATATTGTATTCGGAATCCCCATGCTCGATTACCCCCTGTGCCAACTCCCAGCCCCGTAGCTCAAATTTTGCAAAAAATCGATAAAATCGATATCGATCGATGACGAAAAGTAGCCTATGACACCCGCCGGGGCCCGAAGTGTATGTGTGCCAAGTTTGGTCCCGATCCGTTCAGAAATGGAATTTTCTATTCGGAACATACGTACAGACAGACATACAGACAGACAGACATACAGACAGACAAACAGACATTCAGCTTTATATATAAGATAACGTACCAAACCAAGATTTTCAACCCTTCGCACAACCCAAACGGCGCGCGAGTCCGTATCCTGTCTAATAACATCGTAGTTAACAAAAGTGCCAAGACTCATCCATGATCTCCGCAATGACACCGGCAAACGAGCTATGCCAGATTGCTGTAAATAGCGATATTATTATTGAAAGCAGACTTTTTTGCCAACTGAAACCATTATAGGAAAAAAGCTGAACTAACCGCAGAATATACAGTCATATCTCCATCACGTGGACATACAACAATAACACCGATCTGGAATGAATAGCTATAAAACAAACAAAAAAGTCAAACGAAACTCTGAAACATTCAATACGGTGCTTTTCTATGGTGTATGATTACACTTTGCAGATGACCATTGCTAAACTCAACCACTTATGTACAAATGCTCCAGGGGATACGTGTAAACAAACCTTGAAAACCCAGACAAATGCTCACCTTGGCAACGATAACTGATTGTACACGTCATTTGGAAAAATTCAAAAGTTATCGCTATAAAAAGCACAGATAAGCAACAAAAATCATACCTGGTTATTAGCCATCTCGGGGAATTTATCAGAGTTTTTCTTATCATCAGTATGATTCATATTTATGCTCCATGCAACATAACGGCAATTATTTATGTCTGGTTGGCGAAAGATCTGCAAAAATTACAATGGCAATTTGGAGGTTTTCCCAGACTTAGTGGCAAGAATGATGTGATCAAGTGCCAACTTTGCTCAACGTTTATTGCCCTATTCTTGGAGCTGAATTACTTGGACAGCAATTGAAAGAGTGCAGCTCTCAGCGATTAGTTTAGAAAGAAATCATTCTCGAATGAGATAGTCCGTGACATGGCACAATATTGCACATTGAGAAGTTCAGTATATAGGCGAATACGCGTAAAACACAAAATCTTCCGCGCAGAAATGTCACAAAAATCTTGAGTATGCCGTCTACTGCACATGAAACTGACTCAAAATAAAACAATGCTAGCAGTATTCAATGGAAGGAGACAAGCAGTAGCTAAGCAACGTTCCAAGCATTGAATGAACAACAACAATGAAGAAAACAATGACTAGACCAACAAAAATGATCAACATACCTTTAATTGAATAACTTTACCAACTTCTGCTCCTTTCCCCAACCATGACTTATTATAATCGTTTCTAGCTGAATATGGCACGAAAACTCGACCATATTTCTTAACCTCGGCATAACAGAATCTGGAAGGATACATGGTAGTGGAGACTGCATATGACTAAACTAAGAACTTACTTATCAGAAGCTTCCGTTATTTTTCCAGATACTGCTATTAGCTCTCGTTTTTTAACAACCGATGAAGCTGTATATTGGACATCATTCTCAACTTGACTTTTCTGGGCCGTAAAAATTACTTCCTCATCGGCCTAAAAAGACGCAGATCATCATACCCGACAGCATCATAAGGAGAGATATAGAGTTCAAGCAATAAACCTTCGCAGGATGACAGGATGACATTGACTTACCGAGAATTTTTCTCGAAGATCACTACAATCACTTGTTATAGCAGCAGCGTTTATTGGAAATAGCACGTTGCCCAAGCGTACGTCCTTGATATAAGCTTGTTTTTTCACAATCTAAATAAAGGTTAATCTTTTGAGAAAACTGCAGGTATCTGGTCAAACCACCAGCGCAGAGTGCGCAAAGCTGCCGTTGCAATCGCCAAATTCGCTTAGTAGAGTGTTACAAGGTCGTAGCACAGATATTAGCTGTGGTGGTGTTTTAATTACTTACAGTCAAACTTAGTCCACTGCATTCTACAATCTAGATCTAGCAAGTAACTGGCTGTGCGCAAGGTTCTGCAAAAATTTCACACGTACTACCCCCTGAATTGTCACATTCAGAGCTCCTATATCCCACTATCATTGCCCGCACCCATCATTGAGGAAGCGCGTTCACGCTTTCTATAAACGAACAAAAAAATGTCATTTCAGAGACCAAGTTCACTTGTACTTCTATGGTGATGTTGAGCACACAGCCATCTGCCTCAAAGGACACTTTAATTTAGCTAATGTCAGTGTTAGGCACTTTTAGGAGAAGTGAGATAGATATACACGTGCGACTAATGACAGTGCAGTCTTGCAGCTAACTTAACTGAGAGCTGTACTGCAAGAAACGCTGCAACACTAGTTCCCGGTTATTTATAAGAGAAGTGTCTCATACATTTTCGAGAAAAGAACGTGATTGACGTTTATAGAAACTCCATACAGAGCCGCACCAATGTTTTATGGCACGAAGGTGTCTAATGCTGAGATACGCATCTTCAAAAGTCGCAAGGGTGAATGACGATGTAGAGATAAAAACTAGTCATTTTTGGCTTGACCACAAGTGATGCCCTTGTGCAAATTCTTCATCAAAATGATCATAAACTATGCATAATGAAGACAGTTCCAGTTGAGACTTTGTAAAAAAATCAAACTTTTAGTGACACATTGAGAAACAATCCGCAAAATTTCAATCAGCTATGTACATTGAAAAAAAATAGAAGGTATTCAATGAACTCACACCATAGATTCGCCCTTCACCTAATGCGCGACTTTGGCTCATGCTTCCTCGAAGCCAACTCCAGATACAGTGCAATCTGAAAACATCCTGAGAATAAACGAATAAGGAGCAGTCAGAATGCATTCGATTCGAGATGGCAAACCACTTACTAATTACAAAGTGAGAAAAGTGAATAAAAACAAGAAAAGACCACACACGATAACTGAACCACACAAATAAAGATCGACAAGTAATAAATGCTATCAAAGAAGTAACGGTATCAAAATGATAACAAGATAAACATTTGCGAACGTGGCAGATACTTATCGAGAAATTCGTTACGTCGACACTTCGAAATGCAAGAAGAATGGAACCTAGCAATAAGCACGCACTGATTTTGGCCATCGCTATAATAGAGCAAGAAACTGAGATGAAAGCTTAGAGAAGTTGAAGGATGCTACACTCTTATTAAACTAATTTATGAGTGATCGACTACTAAATTAGAGTTATCATACTAATATGAAACAGAAACACACTATTTAAATGATTGAAGCACTGTAATATAGTGCTTGTGAGCAGAGACCATTCATAGTGCTAATGTACGCTGAACAGTATCTTCAAAGCAAATAAATGATGACCTAAATGAAGCTCACATGTCGTAAAAGTCAATCTTTGTATCCTCGATTTTTGATGCGCGAATTGTACGCAAAACGCATGATTTATCTATACATGAGATTAATAAAGCATACTGTAACCTGTATGAACTCAGACAATTGTTGCAGCGGCCCGCTCGCCCAACTCGGCTTTGGTGCTGAGCCGCGGCGCCTAAACGTTAGCGCTAAATGCACCAGGCCCAGTAGCGGCCCATACGTTCGAGCTGGCGACCCGCGCGCACTGTCAACCCACGCTGCGGGCGGCCCGCACACCCATGTTGAGATCCAAAAATTCAGCAGTGGCCCGCACACCCATACGGACGCCCACTTTCTTTACTAGCGACCCGCACACCCATATGGACGCCATCTAAGTCAAAAAAGCCTCAATTCCATCCCTGTAAGCTCGGATTTCCAGTTTTCCGTGAGTTTTTCTTTTGCGAACTCTTATTAATCTTTATTTTAAGTATGTTTATTATAAATTTTCACGTTTCCATACACTTTAATCCTTTGAAATAACTTGTAACAATATTTTCACTTTTGTTTACTTTTTTATGCTCTCCTTCCTTACTGACGAGTTCCGGGGAGAGTATGTATTGGAGACGGGAAATGGAAGCCAAGCAGTGTAAGTACGAGTACTGTTTTGCTTTTGGTTGCCATTGTTAATTTGATACGCTTTATTGTTTCAGTAGACTCATTCATTTACTTTCAGCGTCAGAAGAGAGTGTTACAGTCGATGGAAAATGCTACATCACAAGCCGATCTAGCTGATTGACTGACGTCTCGAGGAGCAAGGATTCTCTTTCTATGCTGATTTGATCTTGATTGTTTTCCTGCCATGTGATTGTATTGTGATCTATTGTTTTGTGTGCCTTTCATCTTTCCATGTATTGTCGTTAATGAATATGTTTGTACTAGGTTCTTGGCGTTGTAGTTATTCGTGAAAAAAGCTTGCTTTGTGCCTTTCTTAGTAATTCCTCTACTTTTCATATCGCATTCTTTCTCAAGACATTCAATAAATGGTTGGGTGTAAACAGTGTGCTCAACAGTGCAAGAAAGTTCAATAATAGCAAGAAAAACGAGAATTCCAGCTGCTGAAAGGTCTCTTTAGTGGATTTGAAACGGCCCAGCTGCGGCCGTTTATTCATCAGCCCGCACGCATGATAGCGGCCGTCATTGCAGTCGTAGCAGGCTGTTAACACGGCCAGCGTTCGTCCATCGCCAGCTCACCCGCATGGCTGGATGCGCGGGCCGCTATATGCAGCACTATATCACAGGCCCACCCGCCTGTCCAGTCGGGAGGGTCGCTGCGTCCGCTGCAGCAGTTGCTGGCCCGCGCTACCATGGCAGGGCAAGGCCAGGAACGGGTTTTCGCCCAGCCTGCCATGAGCGCGCGGGTGGCCCCAAAAATTGTCTGAGAATGAACTTAGTACATATTTATCACGGGAATGCTGAGAAGAGACAGTAAGATATCCTTCTATATATATAAAACCGAATGGGATTTTGTCTGTACACTGGTGGCTTGTCTGTACGCTGGTGGATAAGCATGCTTGTTGATGCTGTCTGTAGGTCCTCGATGGTGTTTTCGTGTTTGTCATTTTCCAGCATGGAAGCTTGTTATTACTTCTACCAAATTTATCGATTATTTGTAAATTTTGAACTACGGGGCTGGGAGTTGGCACAGGGGGGTAATCGAACATGCTGATTACTAATATGATAACCATTTTCAGAAATGCCCATTACTTTTGTCATTTTATCGATTTTTTGGCAAAGTTCAAGCTACGGGGCTGGAAGTTGGCACACGGGGGTAATCGAGCTTGCTGATTACGAATTTGATAACCATTATCAAAAATGCCCATTACTTTTATCATTTTATCGATTTTCTGGCAAAGTTCAAGCTACGGGGCTGGGAGTTGGCACACGGGGGTAATCGAGCGTGCTGATTACGAATATGATAACCATTTTCAAAAATGCCCATTACTTTTATCATTTTATCGATTTGTTTGCAAATTTTGGACTACGGGGTTGGGAGTTGGCACGGGAGGGTAAGCGAACATGCTGATTACGAATACAGTATTAGTTTTTAGAATTATCAGTTATTTTTATCATTTTATCGATTTTTTGACAAAGTTCAAGCTACGGGGCTGGGAGTTGGCACACGGGGGTAATCGAGCATGCTGATTACGAATACAGTATTAGTTTTTAGAATTATCAGTTATTTTTATCATTTTATCGATTTTTTTGCAAAGTCAAGCTACGGAGCTAGGAGTTGGCACACGGGGGTAATCGAGCATGCTGATTACGAATATGATAACCATTTTTAAAAATGTCCATTATTTTTATCATTTTATCGATTTTTTGGCAAAGTTCAAGCTACGGGGCTGGAAGTTGGCAAGGGAGGGTAAGCGAACATGCTGATTACGAATACAATACTGGTTTTCAAAATTATCATTTACTTTTATCATTTATCGATTTTTTGGCAAAGTTCAAGCTACGGGGCTGGGAGTTGGCACACGGGGTTAGTCGAGCATGCTGATAACGAATATGATAACCATTTTCAAAAATGCCCATTACTTTTATCATTTTATCGATTTTTGCAAATTTTGGACTGCGGAGTTGGGAGTTGGCACGGGAGGGTAAGCGAACATGCTGGTTACGAATACAGTATTAGTTTTTAGAATTATCAGTCATTTTTATCATTTTATCGATTTTTTTGGCAAAGTTCAAGCTACGGGGCTGGGAGTTGGCACACGGGGGTAATCGAGCATGCTGATTACGAATACAGTATTAGTTTTTAGAATTATCAGTTATTTTTATCATTTTATCGATTTTTTTGCAAAGTTCAAGCTTCGGAGCTAGGAGTTGGCACACGGGGGTAATCGAGCATGCTGATTACGAATATGATAACCATTTTCAAAAATGCCCATTACTTTTATCATTTTATCGATTTTTACAAATTTTGGACTGCGGGGTTGGGAGTTGGCACGGGAGGGTAAGCGAACATGCTGATTACGAATACAGTATTAGTTTTTAGATTTATCAGCTATTTTTACCATTTTATCGATTTTTTGGCAAAGTTCAAGCTACGGGGCTGGGAGTTGGCACAGGAGGACAAGCGAACATGCTGATTACGAATACAATATAGCTTTTAGAATTATCAGTTATTTTTATCATTTTATCGATTTTTTTGCACGGTTCAAGCTACGGGGCTGGGGTTTGGCACACGGGGGTAATCGAGCATGCTGATTAGGAATATGATACTGGTTTTTAGAATTATCATTTACTTTTATCATTTTATCGATTTTTTTGCAAAGTCAAGCTACGGAGCTAGGAGTTGGCATGGGAGGGTAAGCGAACATGCTGATTACGAATACAGTATTAGTTTTCAGAATTATCAGTTATCTGGACCCATTTTTGCAAAGAAGGATACTGCTTCTTTCCCTGCACCATATTTGTTCCCAACTTCACAGGAAAGAGTGTCAACGTTCTGCTACGTGACCAAAAAAATTTGACATGCCACCTACATGTTTGACAAGTTTTACCAAGAGTTCGCGTTGCCCTACCTAGCGGCATATGCTCAACCTTTTTTGGTCAATAAATGACCCTATTTTCGATTAAACAATTTCAAAAATGACATTGTTACAATAATAACGTCGCCCACTTATCAATGAACATACTAGACGTGCCCAGAATAGAGAAGTGCGCTAGGGTTCCATCACCTAAGCGGCGAAAAGCAGCAGCGAGGTACTACTTCAAGCGATCACTTGTAAATTTTTCTGGCTAAACTCGCATGGCGGAAAGTTTGAAGAGAAAAACATTCTTGAATCATTGCTAGAAGCAATCAAGATATTCTAGTAATGGTTCTAGATTGTTTTGCTCTTATGTATATCAGCTGGAGAGCTTCTAAGTGGTTACAAATGCTTTTTTACCTCACCAGAAATAATTTCGAAAAAACGTGTCAAAGTGGACTAAAACGTGTCAATTTTTTCCTGACACGTTGCAGGGAGGCAGTCCTCGTGGAATCTATGAAAATTTATACTTAAACTACCGAACGTATTTTATAAGAGCTTTTTGAAAAAATGGGTCCGGATAACGGAAAAGTACCGTTATTTTTATCATTTTATCGATTTTTTTAGCAAAGTTCAAGCTACGGGGCTGGGAGTTGGCACAGGAGGACAAGCGAACATGCTGATTACGAATACAATATAGCTTTTAGAATTACCAGTTATTTTTATCATTTTATCGATTTTTTTGCATGGTTCAAGCTACGGGGCTGGGGTTTGGCACACGGGGGTAATCGAGCATGCTGATTACGAATATGATAACCATTTTCAAAAATGCCCATTACTTTTATCATTTTATCGATTTTTACAAATTTTGGACTGCGGGGTTGGGAGTTGGCACGGGAGGGTAAGCGAACATGCTGGTTACGAATACAGTATTAGTTTTTAGAATTATCAGTCATTTTTATCATTTTATCGATTTTTTTGGCAAAGTTCAAGCTACGGGGCTGGGGTTTGGCACACGGGGGTAATCGAGCATGCTGATTACGAATATGATAACCAT